GCGGGACGCGTAAGTATATCGCGATTTTGGTTTCGCGAGGATTACCGTTCGGGCGGGATTGGGATTCCTGGAATATAGCAGATGAGAGGCTCGAAATATTGAGCCAAGCGAGTGCGGACCCTTTAGTACTGCGGTTCCCAACTCCCGCGAGGGACTGGGCCAGGAATAAGGGGAGCGAGTGTGTGTGTGGCTGCAGATATTCCAGAAGATGGGTTCGAAGGGCAGCAAGCCTTCGACTCCCATGGGATGGGTACCCTCTGTACCTAAGAATACCCCTCTAGCTTATATCTTGGACAATTGGAAATACTTCCCTGGGACGGCAGGGAAAGATAAGCAAAAGATGATAACATATCGTACCAAGATATGGGGAGGGAAGAAAATTGTACAAAATGTCTTCTGGCCAGTTTATGGGTCAGAAGAACATTGGGTAAGACAACAGTTAAATCTTTGGCTTAATAATGAGAAGTTCCTTAACTCAAAGCAGAACCCCCTGGAAGAAAGACAGTCTGCACTAAGCAGCTGCGGTTTTCAGGGTAAAAGAAATAGTGTCAGGGACACATCTATCGTAGAAAAAGAGGAACCCCTGAATGAAGTTGAAAGTACTAAAAAAAGAGGAACCTCAGAGAGAGATTACAAAAAAAAAAGAAACCTCTGAGAAAAAGATTAGTAAAAAGTGACTTTGAGGCTAGGACGCTGAAGATTCCCCCTGAGAGTCCCTTGGGAAACCTCTTAGAGAACTGGAGTTGTTATTCCAGCACTTATAGAAGATCAAAGGAGAAAATGATTAACTATTGTATTGAAGTGTGGAGAGGTAGAAAAATAGGAAATAATACTTACTGGCCCATATATGGTACTTTTAAGAATTGGATCTGTGAGCTTTTAAATTGGTATGTTAGCGATAAAAAACCCTTTTGCCCAGAGGAGAGTTTTTATGCAACTATATGGTTAGAAGCCAGTGAAGATATTCACTTATTTTCGTTAAGACAAAGAAGGAGCCAAATGAACTCTGTTAAAGATTTGGAGTCATGGAGGTCCCCTCCATCATATCCATTAAAAGAAGAAAAGAACCAGAGGTACAAGGTATTTGATAAGATGCAAAAGAAAGATGAGAGTCCTACTGAATGGCTAGAAAGGTTAAGAAAAACTCTCCAGCTGTATTTAGATGTC